GGATATAATTCAAATTCAAATTTGAATCGGGTATGTAAACTTTTGACTTATAAATTTTGGGTCTATAAACTTTGGGTCTATAAACTTTAGTTGTATAAACTTTAGATGCATAGAAATACTATATATAGAAAATATTTGAATTCAAATTCAAATTTGAATCAGATATAATTCAAATTCAAATTTGAATCGAATATATAAACTTTTGACTTATAAACTTTTGGTCTATAAACTAACTTTAGGTGTATAAACTTTAGATGTATAGAAATACTATATATAAAAAAAATATTTGAATTCAAATTCAAATTTGAATCGGATATATAAACTTTTGACTTATAAACTTTGGGTCTCTATACTTTAGATGTGTAAACTTGAGGTGTATAAATTTACTAAAATAAGAAAGTAATGCGGTGGTAAAAAAGGAAACCAGGTGGAGGGGGGGCGTGGGGCGATCGCTACCCCCATCTCCAGGCGATCGATCGCCCATTAGGATCGCCCCCCTAAGTGCTTCAATCCTACTGCATCATTAGTCAACTGCTCAGTAGTTTTGCTCCCTCCGTTTAAATTATACTATTGACTTTCCACATTCGTTTTAAAATGTTATATATAAATGTTATTTATTTTGTTGTGACATATTTTATTATTATTAAAGAAACTATAAGTATGACTTATAATTTAGAATATTTACACTAATATTTTAAATAGAACGAATAATCAAACATTATTTTAAAAATTAATGGTATTATCTATTAAAGAAAATAGCAGAGGTAGTATTACTAGGGGTGGAAACGAGCCGAGCCAAGCCTAGCTCGGTTCGGCTTGCAATGGCTCGTAACAAGCTAGGCTTGGCTTGGCTCGGTTCGGTTAGGGATACGAGCTAAAACATGAGCTCGGCTCGGCTCGTTTCCTGGCTCGAGCCAGCTCGCGCTAGCTTGCGAACCTTCCGTTGAAGCTATATAATTTATAATCATTAAGAAAAGCAATAACAAATTATCAACATGTAAAATTAAAATAACTTTATATATTCAATTCATTAAAATCTAGACGATAAATTATATATTGACAAATAATAACTCAACTGCAAAATAAAATCATCCATACAAATATATGATGGCCTAGGCTCACGAGCCAAATCAAGTGGCTCGTGAGCCAGCTCGGGCTTAGCTCGTTTCAGAAACGAGCTAAAAAGGAGGCTTGGGCTTGGCTTGTTTGGCATTCAAGCCGAACCGAGCTAAGTGAGCTCGAGCCAAGCCCGAGCTAAGCTCACGAGCCCAAGCTTTTTTTCCACCCCTAAGTATTACTAATTAGATTGATTTAGGGTAGACCGCGAGAGGTGGCGGCGGTCATTGGGGTCACGTACAATACTCCTATCTGATTTGATCTCCAAGACTTCAAAACTTGGAAAAGAAATTTGGTGCAGAACTGCAGAACTGCAGACCTGCTCCAGATGATTGCCATGTGGACGACGTGGTGATCAGACGGCTATCTCCCCTCGGCTCCTATGCAGCGCGATATATATGGTGAGGATCGATCGATCACCCTTCTCCATATGGTTTCCTATTTTAACACCGCATTACTTTTCTATTTTAGTACATTTATATACCTAAAGTTTGTACATCATAAATTTACACATCTAAAGTTTATACACTGTCGACGACCTCAAATTTACACATCTAAAGTTTATATACTGTTGACGAGTGATACTCGCAGACAGGATAAGTTGAGTATTGGGGTATGTTTGAATGAGGGTCTATGTAGTACAACATCAAGCAAACAGAAGACGAGGATTATACTGGTTCAGGCCCCTTATCAGGTAATAGCCCTAGTCTAGTTTATATGAGATTGATGATGATGAGAACAGATTACAAAGAGAGTAGATGAAACAAACGACACCGACGAGATCATAGTCAATAGATTCGACGGGACCGACGAGATCATAGTCGATAGATTCGACGAGATCTCCCGGTGACTTGGCTCCGAATACTTCGGCTTCGTAAGCTGTGGTGGGTGTGTTGGCGATGATATTTGATGCCCTTCACCTCCCTCTAGGGGTCCGTTTTATACCGTGGATTATCTTACCCGAAGTAAGAGTTGGAGATATGTAAACTAGTACGATATAGCAGATATTCTATCCCCTCCAAGTAGGACTCTGATAGTTTCTTAACTCGTAGAGATATTTTTCATAATTCGGGACAGATTCCTAACGGTGTATACGGAAACGACCCGTGCACGTGAAGGTATACCTTATCGGTATATTTCATAAGTCGTAGGTTAGAGGGTATGCCTTATCCATAATCCTAACATACACCTCAAGTTTAGAGACCCAAAGTTTACAAGTCAAAAGTTTATATATCCGATTCAAATTTGAATTTGAATTCAAATATTTTTTATATATAGTATTTCTATATATCTAAAGTTTATACACCTAAAGTTTATAGACCCAAAGTTTATAAATCAAAAGTTTACATACCCGATTCAAATTTGAATTTGAATTCAAATATTAGTTTATAGACCCAAAGTTTACATACCCGTTTCAAATTTAAATTTAAATTCAAATATTTTTTATATATAGTATTTCTATACATAATTTTTTTCAACTTTGTTTTTTATTTTTTTTTAATTTATGGTGTAGTAGGAAGAAAAGAAGGGGAGGAGGAAGGGGGGAGAGAGCGTATAGGGAGGATGGGGATCGATAAGCGATCGATCGCCCATTAGCCACACCCGAGGATGGAGGAGCCTTGCTCGGCTGGATTTTTTCACATTTTAGTACTTTTTAAAAACTTATCCTACAAATAGACCTATAAAAAAACTTATTCTAGAAATGATCCTTGTCGCGGCGCCAATGTCGTTGGCGCCATGTTTCAACATGACGGCGCCAATGATATTGGCGCCATCCTCTCCGCCCTCGGGTGAAAGTTTAGTCACAAATGTGAAGTGGGACGGCGCCAACGACATTGGCACCGAGGACCAATTTGTAAAAAAATTGAAAAGGACCTATTTGTAAATAAAAAATATTTACAAATAGGTCCACAAATAGGTCCTTGGTATCAGCGTCATTGGAACTAAGGACCTATTTTTAAATAATTTTTATTTGCATATAGGTCCTTTTTCAGAAAAAAATAATTTGGTCCTCGGCGCCAATGACATTGGCGTCGTCCCGTTCACATTTGTAACTTACCTTTTTCACCTGGGGCTAGGAGGATGGCGCCGACGTCATTGACACCGTCATGTTGGACCACGGTGCCAACGACATTGGTGCCGTGGAAAGGATCATTTATTAAATAAGTTTTTTTAGAGATTTATTTATAGAATAAGTTTTCTAAAAAGATCAAAATGCGAAAAATCCAGCCTCGCTCGGCTCACCTCAAATCGCATAGGTATCGACTCATTGGCCTCAGATCCGCTTTTCTCATCTTGCCGGCGCCATCTCCGCCGTAACCCCAAATCCGTCGCCTCCCGACGTGTTCCCCTCCAACTCCCTCCGCAGTCCCATCCACCTCCCGCCTGATCCCTTCCCGCGCCGCCTTGTCTCTCGTTCGCTGCCGGGACGCGTTTGTGCGCGCATCGGGGACGGGGAGGACTACCATGGTCTGGGACCTCGGTCTCGCATGAAACACAGCACCTCGACCGACGACCATCGATCAAATGGTGAGCAACCAGCCCGACCTTGTCCTCCTCCGCGATGCCCGCTACAACAACCTGTATCTGTATCTGACTAACGGTGAATTGCTCATAACATTATTCAGAGTTTGTTCATAATGCATTATTAAGAGTTGAGAGCTAGATGATTGTTCTGCATATCGCATAACATTATTCTGCCTGATGGATTATTTGTTGATATGATTCTTATTCCTGATTCTGGTGTTCCCGATAACAGCAGAACTTATGCATTTCTCATTTCGATTTATCTTTATGATGGTGGTTCTCTATCTTCTCTGCAGAATATATACAGAAGAGGGAAAATCGCTATACCTGAAAGGACTGTAAATTTGGAAAAAGAGGATGGTGTTGAAAAAATTGTAGTCCTTCACTCCTTTGTAATATGAAATAATCCCTAAATTGTTGCAAGGATTGTAGTCCAGTCGTCCAGATTGTAACCTGAACAGCCTTTTTTTTTTGTTCAAATTGCAAGAATACTGAGTTATCCCTTTGTAATCTGTAGACTGTATTTTTCTATCTGGAATACATATGAGCGTTTTTGGTTGTTCTGAAATATTCAATCTGATGGATGTGTTACAAAAACTGTGATTGTTTATCTAATTACGTGAGTGAATAAAATACGGAATATTGTATAATCTGAATTTTTGAAGAAATTTAATAAGAACAAGTAGCAACTCACAAGGTGAGTTCAGGCAAGGAAAAGATGAGGATAATTAAGAGCAACTCAAGAACTGGTCGCCACAAAGTCAAGTTTTTACATGTTAATAAGTCACAATCTCCGTATTAACGTAACTAATAAATCCATGGTCGCAACTAATATCATCAATGAAAATTCAGTAAATCCATTGCTCCTTGTCGTCATGCGCAGCGCAGGTGAAACCAGCCGGCACCTGATGAGACGAAGGCAGAAGCCCGGCAGGTCGATCTGTTCTTCTCCAGGCCTCCTCGTCCTACCATCACTATCGTCGACGGCGTCGGCGAGAGGTGATTCCGGTCCGATTGAGGTGAGAGGGCGAGGGAGCGATCGCCGCAGCGCGTCCGCAAATCGTGCTCGCCGTTCGATCTCTTTTTTATCCACGCGTCCACCATCGGCGCCCGGGGCTGCAGAGGCTTCGCTTTGCACCGGTGTATGCACCAATTTTTTTTCAAATCAACTCGGACTCGGTTAGTCGCTTTGTACTGCCGCGCGCGCGCGTTTCCCATCTCCGACTCGGATTACACGTAGGCGCGCCGCGCGCGCCTATTTATAGCCGCTGTCCGTCTCCTTACTCCATGCATTAGCCTGATTGCTAGTTGCTGCTAGCGCGTGGCACAAGAGCAGCGAGACCAGCAGTAAGCTAGGCATGGCGGCGCGCGCCGGCGACACCGGCCTGAGCAAGGTCAGGCGCTACTGGCCCGGGAGGGCGCCGGACTGGGCGTGGGCGGGCGCCGCTGTCGCTCACGACGAGGACGACGCACGTCTCGTCTCGACGCTTGACGAGATCAAGCACGTGGAGGAGGAGGTGCTGAGGTCGCCGCGCCGCCGCCGTGTGCGGCGGGCTCCCGAGATCGCGTCGGCGGCACCGGCGGTAGATGACTGGCACGAGCCCGATCCGATCGAGGAGGAACAAGACGAAGATGATGATGATGATGCCCGGGAGGAGCGCAGAGCGAGGATAAGGGAGAGGGCGCTGCTCCTGAGGCGGCATGAGGAGGAGCAGCTTCTTCTTCTTCACCCGCAGCATCAGGAGGAGGAAGATGAGGAGGCGTCTGAGTCTGAAGAGACGGCGGAATCGGACTCCGACGTCGGCGAGCAGATGGCCGTCGTCTACATGGCCGTGCCACTGTTTATACCAAAGCCGCGGCGTGACACCATCCGGCTCAAGGAGGAAGAACGGCAGCGACTTGAGGACGAGCTGCACCGGAAGAGGCTCGAGGACAGGAAGGCTCAGACGAGGCAGATCCTGCTCCAAGAGATCATCAACGAAGAGCTCCTCGCCGCCAACACAGCTTCAGATGAAGCCGCCATCAACGGCGTGGACACCGACGACGAGGTGGACCAAGCCGAGGAGTACGAGTCGTGGCGGCGCCGGGAGATGGCGAGGATCAAGAGGATCAGGGAGGAGAGCGGCATCGACGACGACAAGTCGATCATGGAAGACGAGAACCCGGTTGCTGATCGTCCCAAGAAGAAGATGAAGATCAAGAAGCAGATGAGGTTCATGCAAAGATACTACCACAAGGGCTGCTTCTTCCAACAAGACGCCGACGATGCGGCGCAGACGGCAGGATCATGCGAAATCTACCGGCGAGATTTCTCCGGGCCGACCGGGTTGGACAAGATGGACGTAAGCGTCTTGCCCAAGGTGTTGCAGGTGAAGCACTTTGGGCGGCGTGGGGGAAGGAAGTGGACGCATCTAGTTAACGAGGACACCACGTACAGGACACCACGTACGGTGAGTGATTTTGTATCTATCCCCACAATTTTGTAAAATTTCAAAAAATGTGAGCAGCGGCAAGTTATTTTTCACCCCCTTGTGACGTACTCATCTGTATTTTAATGTATGACGCCGTTTACTTTTTGACCAACGTTTGATCATTTGTCTTATTCAAAATTATTATGCAAATATATAATCATGTGACAAAAAATTTAATTGTAATAAATAAAGCGGTATAATCTTATCTTAGATGAATAGTTTTGGAGAAAAAGTATTCTTACATGGTTGCATAATGCATGCTAGTAGATATCTTCAAAACTATAGCCCAATGCACAATATTTGGCACCATAGATCTTTACTTGAAATGATATCTGGAATGGAGACATTAGACATTTTCATAGATTGTTCGGGTGGGACTCAGTCAAATCCATATGTGACAAAACATTTGGAAGATAGTGTTAACTTACCTCTACCTGCTCAAGCCTTAGATGAATTTCAGCAGCTACAAGTTGAATTGAATGAGTTACAACTTCAAATACAAAGGGAGATCCTTAGTCTGTCATATGGAACAGCCGTGTTTGTTCCTCAGAATTTTCACGGGCTGAATTTTGTGAATCATTCTCCCCCTAGTCACCATTTGGCTCTGGAAAACTAAATGTGTCGTCAAGAACAAAGTATTTATGTGGCTGATGTTGTATGATCGATTGAATACCGGAGACACGTTGGACAAAATCACAAAAAACTATTGTGCTCTAGAATGCAGATCTACCTTGTGTTCTTTGCTTACTGGTTCTAGGGAGACAACAATGCATCCCTTCTTCGATCATGTGTCGAGACCGTATTAGAGTAAGATGGAATGCTAATCTTGAGTTTTTCCAAATGGTGGTCTTGGCACGACCGAGGTTTAGGCAAAAGAGTTTCTTGGATATAATGTTCATAGCTTGCTGGCATATATTGAAGCAATGAAATGAAATAATCTTTCAAAAATTGTTACCAGAAGAAGACAATTTGTTCCATTCTTTTAACAATGAAATTCTCTTGCATATGTGCAAGATGAATAAGCCCCTTAATTTAGTCATTTTTGACTGATTACAACATTTACAATAATTATTTTGATGTGATACTCTTGCGTTTAAATATTTTACTGTTTTAAATATATAACTATTAGGCAAAGCTTGTTAGAATTTTTCATAAAAAAGGATCAAATAAAAAAATATATCATGTTAGATCAAATACTCAAACGCAAAACAATATCTCTCATGGTAGATCAAATATTCAAAAACAAAACAACCTTTAAATAGTACCATTACTATTTAGACTAGAGTCGAAGCAAAATAGAATATCAATTGAATGGATCAAATCGTAAGTATATACATAGGTATAAGAATTTGATTCATACCTATACCTAGCAACAAACAACTTAAACTCAACTTTATTTCACAATTCATTATTACATACCTAACTAATTATATGTTTGAATGTTATATACCTAGAACCAAAATCTAACCAAAAAAATGTCCAAACTCAGTTCAATCTTATTTGAACTTGTTAGTAAAGAAGTTAATGTTCATATCTAAACATTTTTTTAAAAAATCATACTCATTAAAATTGGGTATATACTCAATTTTAATCTTCGAGCCCGAGCACCATGGAGCCCCAGTTAATTTTAATACACATATGTATATATACATACACACACATGACGGTGACACTGGCTCTATATCGAGAAATAGTTATATGTTAAAAAAAACTAGGAAGGTAGCCAGCGCATACGCGTGGGTATGTTGTTTAATCTTATTTGAACTTTTATTACGAATTTTTATGTGTGGATGATATTTTTGAAATATTTTTTGACACTATTTTAAACGTATGTTTGTTAATAACTGGTTTGGGCATATTACTTGAAATTGTATATCTATTAGGAAAAACGTGTCATAATAATAGAGTTAGTTCATATCTATTTTAATTATGTGTGATTCCTTTCTAAAAATTTTTGGACTTTCCAAACTTTATATAACATTTTTATTTTGTATGCTATACATGAATTTAAGTAACATTTTAAAAATAATAAATTTAATCTAATGGTGTAAAATGAAACAACTAAATTGTATTGTTTTTATTTTTTTTATAAATGTAGATTTAAATTAGTGTTGTATATTTGTCAAGTGATATTTGAAACCCTAAAACAAGATGTGAAATAAAAAATTATCATAGCAATAATTATTATATATATCATCCTCGTATGCTAAGATAGGATGAATAAAGATTATTCATGGGATATTTCATATTTATAATATAAATTTAGTTTAACTACGTATATTTACATAAATTTGTAGGGTAATATATTTATATTTAAATAGTAGATAATACTATTTTAAAAGACCATCGATCTTTTTCGAATGATACACATTTTTTTGTTTTATTGTTTTTATAGTAAGGGATTTTGAAAATACTATTTCAAAAGACCATTGTGCATAGATTTTTCTTTTCCAATGGATAGTAGGTAAGCTCCAATTTTTTTCCAAGTCATATGTATGTACGGACAACTTATGTTTTTTTTTGTTTTTCTATCCTAATAGTTATATAGTTCTCCAGTATACGTACACAGAGTAATATGGTATTAGTTTATAAAATAAAATACTCTAATGGTCTAAATATTGGGTTCATCAATTTAAGTGAAAATCGAGGGTGATATTTACTTAAATTTATAGAGTAATAGATTTTATCTTTAAATAGTAGAAAACTCTATTTTAAAGATAATTGATTTTTTTAATGGTACTACGTATGGTTTTTTTTCCTTTCGATAAACAGTAGATAAGATACATTGTATTTTAGTCGTATGTACGTACCTATTGAATACTTGTGTTTTTTTTCCGGTGAACAGCAAGGTATTAGTTTCTATTTTCTTTTTCGGTGAACAATAGGTATTAGTTTCTTTTTAAATAAAATACATCTAATCTAATTTAATGGTCTAAATTATCGGGTCCACCGATTAAGTGAAAATCGACGGTGAGATTAGGCATTGTCACGTGGCGGTCCAGAAGCGTTTGTAAAAGTGCCACGTGGTGGCTTGAGAGTGTTTATAGTAAGTTTAATGGACTTTTAGTACTTCCTCCGTTTTTAATTATAAGGCTTTCTAGCATTGCCCATATTTATATATATGTTAATGACTCTAAGCGCGCGCGCATATATATATGTATATATATATATATATATGTATATATATGTATATATGTATATATGTATATATATATATATATGTATATATGTATATATATATGTATATATGTATATATGTATATATATGTATATATGTATATATGTATATATGTATATATATATAGTGATATTGATGTTTAGCTCTTATAGAATTGATTTCTCTTTCAGAAAGAAGATGCAGGGTTTCATGCAAAGAACTAATATTTTCAATTGTTTTAATATAGTAGTCACTAAGTAACGAAAAAGTACCTACATGATATATTTCCTTAATATTAACCTTAGGAATCTTCCAGTCAGAAATACTTTTCTCAATATCCTCAAAAGATATAAATGAAGCATTCTTTACCGACATAGTGCCAACAGACTTCTCGCTACTGCACGAGGCTACAGATCGATCAGTGGCTCTTCGTGATCTAACCAACCAAGCCATCTTCTCCGAAAGGGGGGGGAAGAGGGGTCGGGTAGCGTGCTGAAGTCGCGGTGATCCCGAACAGTGTGGTGGTGTTCTGAAGTCGCGGAGTTCCCGAACCTTTGATCGGTTGCCTGAAGTCGCGTTGCCTTGTTGAGCCGCAGAAGGCGTTTGTCGGCGTAATTCGTTGACTGGGCACTTATCAAAGGCAAAGGTTGAACTTAATTGTGGGAAATATTCCCTGCCGTTGACTGGAACACATCATATCCAAATAGGTTGATCATAATTGTGGGAGATTTCCCCGCCGTTGTCTGGTAACTACCTACCTATCTTCCTATCTTTCGTATAAGATGTCTTGGTTGGTTAGATCACGAAGAGCCACTGATCGATCTATAGCCTCGTGCAGTAGCGAGAAGTCTGTTGGCACTATGTCGGTAAAGAATGCTTCATCTATATCTTTTGAGGATATTGAGAAAAGTATTTCCAATTGGAAGATTCCTAAGGTTAATATTAAGGAAATATATCATGTAGGTACTTTTTCGTTACTTAGTGACTACTATATTAAAACAATTGAAAAAACTATTCCAATTAGTTCTTTGCATGAAACCCTGCATCTTCTTTCTGAAAGAGAAATCAATTCTATAAGAGCTAAACATCAATATCACTACCTTCACTTTGGTCTTATACAAGTTGCTATCAGATCCTTGACTAGAAAGGGTTTGAACGTCTCTGTTCTGGCTTGTCTAAGAGATTGCAGAAATAAAAGGTTCAAAGATTCCTTATATCTCTAATTTTAATGAAGATAAGATTCCCACTAAAGCAAGGCCCATTCAGATGAATAGTCGACTTTAAGAAATTTGCAAGCAAGAAATAAAAAACCTGCTAGATAAAAGCTTAATAAGGAAACGTTCCTCTCCTTTGAGTTGTGCAGCCTTCTATGTAGAAAATGCTGCTGAAAAAGAACGAGGAGTTCCTCGGCTAGTTATTAATTACAAACCCCTCAATAAAGTTCTACAATGGATAAGGTATCCAATACCTTATAAGCATGACTTAATACAAAGGATTCAGGGTTCAAAGATATATTCTAAATTTGATATGAAGTCTGGGTTTTGGCAAGTCCAAATAAAAGAAGAGGATAGATATAAAACTGCTTTTACTACTCCTTTTGGTCATTATGAGTGGAACGTAATGCCGTTTGGTTTAAAAAATGCTCCTTCTGAGTTCCAAAAAATCATGAATGAGATTTTCCTTCCCTTTACATCCTTTATTATAGTTTATATAGATGATGTTTTAATATTTTCCCAAGATGTTGACCAACATTGGAAACACCCTAATATATTTTATAAAATCATAGTTCAAAACGGTTTAGTAGTCTCTGCTAAGAAAATGAAACTTTTCCAAACTAATGTTCAGTTTCTCGGTTATA